TCTCTCTCTCTCTCTCTCTCTCTCTCATATTTATTTTTTAGTTATAGTTTATTTTTATGTGGTGCTGAGGATGGAATCCTTCCTTCCTTCCTTCCTTCCTTCCTTCCTTCCTTCCTTCCTGTACTGGGGATCTCAACCACTGAGCCACATCCTATTTTCCTATTTTGTATTTTATTTAGAGACAGGGTCTCACTGAGTTGCTTAGCGCCTTGCCTTTGCTGAAGCTGGCTTTGAACTTGTGATTCTCCAGTCTCAGTCTCCCAAGCCTCTGGGATCACAGGCATGGGCCACCGCACCCAGCCTGTGCCTGGCTTTCAAGGCTAGAATATTAAGTCTATGAAAAGAGCCATTTCTTCTTATCTGTTACTGTAAATTTTATGTTAGGGACCCTGCACAAGGCCTTCAGCCAAGTAGAATTAGGAATTTTTTTAAAAGAGGAAAAAAGCCTCAATGATAAAATGGCTCTAAGAGAACACCAAATAACCTATAAATGTTGCGAGAAACTGTGGATCAGGGCTCAGAATTTGGAGTTTGCTTACTCTGGGCCCATAGGCATAAAATAAAGTTGGGAGTTCTTCTCCTCCTCCCCGAGTGCTGCTTGCTGCTTTCCCGAAATGCTAACATTGGGCTCTATCCCCAACCCTTTAATTTTTTTTTTTTTTTTTTATTCCAAGACAGGATCTTCTTGTGTCTTGCTAAATTGTTCAGGATAGCCATGAATTTGGGATCCTCCTGCCTCAGTCTTCTGAGTGACTGGTATTACAGGCATGAGCCATCCTGTCTGGCAACACTACCAGTTTTTAAACTTTTTTTTTTTTTTTTTTAAGAGGCTACTACCTCTTCCCATGTCACTCAAATTGTGTTAAAGGATAAAGGATCTAATTTCAGAGCCATGCATGTCAGCTTCAGATGGAGTATCATGCTGAATCTGAGAATTAAATTTAAATTGGAGGAACAATAAAAATGTAAGCTCAAGCAGCGTTCCAATTTGCCATAGGGGTCAATTGAAGTGTTTGTCAGTTTATATTCAGCACCACCTGGTGTGCAGTGTGTACTGTGTGAATTACTGTATCATAATAAACAGACATTGGTTCTTCCTAAATGGTAGCAAGAAAAATGCTTGCTGTGCAGACTTTGGCAGCCCCAAAAGATGACTCCATGCCTAAATTTGTCCCTTCCTATTTCATCTCCTTTGTTCAGGTCTTCCTTTCTGCCTCCTGGGGGCTATTTCCTTAATCCCTTTACCCCATCTGCAAAATTCCATCCTGTGCCACATTGGAGGTTCTCTCCAAGGCACCTGGGTTCAGCAAAAGTAATATTTTCTTTTTCTCTGCCTGGGCAGTAAAACGGTGCCAACTGAGGGAGGCTCTGAGCCTCATTAGATAAATTAGATAAGGAGTCCTGCAAATTGCTGTTTATAAACACAGCATAGACTACCCCGAGTGCCTGTAACCCGGACCAGGATGACTCCAAAACCTCTTTAGAGTTTTTTATTTTTTTTTCTTCTTTTTTCCTTAATGGCTTTCATGAAAAGTAATTATTTATAATTTATAAACAATAAGAAATTTCAGCTTATAAACTGTAAGTACAATATTAACATTCCCCACCCGCCCCCAGAGCCAAGTTAGGAGAAATTCTACCTGAAATGACAGGTAAAACAACCACAACATGGAAATAAATATTCTAACTGCATGGTCCCAAGCACTGTTAAAAATAAGAAATAACTGTGTAATCTATCTCTGCAATAATGGGCATATTCTAGTGGGATCATTTTCAGCCCATTTCCCCATCCTGCTGGGCAAGAATTGGCTCAGATAAGGAAAAAGAGCTAACCAAACTGGAAAAGAAAAACAACCCACCCATTATTTTTGATGCCTGGTAAACAGCTTGCAGCAGAGGATAAGGCTTTTCTGGCTCTGAAATATGCTTTTTTCTCCTTTCATGTGTCTGTCCTCCTCCCTCGAAGCTGCGGGGTAGAAGGTCTAAAAATAGCCAGTGAATCACCGCGGATAATATTGTGCAGCAGTTACATAAACAGCCAGCCGGGGCGGCGGGGCCCTGGGTCGGAACGAAAAATATCTGGGTCAGGGTTGTCACACTGAATAGGATCCCCCGGAGCCGGCCTTCGGAGGCGCGGCGGGGGGAGGAGGCCTGGGCCTGCTGGCCGGGAGCACCTGGGGAGCCGCGGGCGGCGGGCGGGAGGGAGCACGGGCCCGGGCCGGGCGCGGGCGGCGGCGCGAGCAGGGCGGCCGAGCCCAGCGCTCCCTCCCCATGGCCGGGAGCGGGCCGCGTAGGCGGCGACGGCGCTGAGAGGCCAGGGCGGGGCGGCCGGGGGCCTGCGGCCGAGTGGAAGATGAGCGCCCTCCTAGAGCAGAAGGAGCAGCAGGAGAGGCTGCGGGAGGCCGCGGCCTTGGGGGACATTCGGGAGGTGCAGAAACTGGTGGAGAGCGGGGTTGATGTGAATTCCCAAAATGAGGTCAACGGCTGGTAAGTGAGTAGCGGGGGCGGCCTAAGGTCAGGGCAGCCGGCCTCGGGCGTGGGACAGGCGTCGGCGACCTGGGCCCAGTCCTGTCCCCGACACCGGACTAAGGTGAGGCCTGGTGCCTCGGGCTTCCCAGGTTGTGCCCTCTGGAGGCCAACTTCGTCCCCCCTACTTCCGTGCAGTCTGGAGTGCGACGAGCTCAAATGCCGGCCTACGTGGTCCACCCTGAGAGCCCCGCGCTCGCGGGCTGATTTGCCCGGAATGTTGCTGGAGGCAGTGATTCTCAGCGATTCTGTGCTGGAACTCACCCCAATTGAATTATTTTGCCTGAGGTGCCTCTGAAGAACATCTGTGCAGAGCTAAAAGCATAAACAACCGAACAAATACGAATCTTACTAACATGATTTCTTTAGTCCAGGATAAAAACAAACAAAAACCCACCGCTTGCATCACTATTCTGCCTCTGTTGTCTCACTCTTACAGTGATCTGCAGCTGCCTACAGCTGCCTACAGCTGCCCGCCCGGGGAAGAAGACTCATTTGTGTATCCTAGAGAGTGTTTTGCTTTATTTTCTTATTACAATTTCCCATAGAGAACTGCACGTGAGGCTTTAGATTTATGCCTGTAGAATGGGTCCTTTCCAACTAAAGGAGTCTCATTTGAAGATGTTGCTGATAGCCAAATCTTTAGGTTCAAGGTACTGAATGTGGTACTTCTGCCCTCTTTGTTTTTAATTCATGTAATGTTTAACCAGCCTATTTAGCTGGTTTAAAGTGAGTTTGCAGATGTTTGTTTTTATTTGATAGAGTGGAATCAATGGAAACAGTTTCAACCCCAGAGAGTAACTTGCTCCAAGTCACACAACTGTTAATGATAGTACCACAACTGAGGTTTCCTCACTTCCTTTTTGTTTTGTTTTGGTTTGGGGGTTTAACCTAGGGGGACTTTACCACTGAGTTACATCTCTAGCCTTCTTTTTTTAAATACTGAGACACATCTTCATAAATTGCCCACGCTGGCCTGGAACTTGCCTATCCTCCTGCATTAGCCTCCTGAGTCGCTGAGATTATGACTGCACCCTGCAGTTTCATCACTTCTTACAAAAATCTGTGTACCTTCTTTTCTGAAAGAAAACAGCTTGGATAGCTGACAGGATAGCCAATAAACTGTGGATACTGCCTTCTTGTTTTGTTTAAAATTGTTTGCAAAGAAATTTGCTGTGGTCTGTGTAGCTTTTCTGAGCTTTGCTCTGTGATTCAAAGCTGGGCCTTTATGGCACTGGGAGGAAGTGTTATGTGGAAGAATGAGCCTGGTCTTCACTGAAGGTTCTTTTTCATTCCTACCTAAGTATGTGACCTTGTCTAAGTCACTTCATTTTCCAATTATTTCAGAAGAATGCTATGAGAGAAGCATAATATAAATAACATTTATTGAACTTGCTCTGTGGCACAGATGTGGTTCTGAGCACTTTACATATATCACCTTATTCACAATTACCCGGGGACATAGTTATTATTTTCTCCATTTTACAGATGAAGAAACTGAGGCCCAGAAAGACTAAATAATTTTCTCAATTTACAAAATGCCCCTAAATTTAGAATTTAGTAATGCTGTGTTATTGTTCAAAATATCCCCTGAGGAGGGAGGTGCAGAGAGTATCTAGTAGAGCTGGAAAATGAACCTGGCTTCTAACTCCAGACCTTCCCCTCCTCAGCACGATGCCCACATGATTGGTGTTCAGGAAATGTAAGGTGAACCTGAAGTAACTTTTTATTTATTTATTTTTATTTATTTATTTATTTTGGTGCTGGGAATTGAACCCAGGGCCTTGGGCTTGAGAGACAAGCACTCTTCCAACCTGAAGTAACTTGAAGAGGCTTCTCCTAGACTGAGTTCAAAACTCAGCATGGCTAAGACTGAATTCCTAGTCCCCCCATGGCCTGTGCTGTTCTCTGCTTCCTTATGTCAGCCTCTCAGGTGTCTGGGTCAGAATGCTTGATGCCCTCCTTGCCTCTTATCTTTCCCACATGTCCCACACATAGTCAGCCAGTTCTGCCAGCTCCACCTTCAGAGGTAGTCAGAATTTGACCACTTCTCACTAGCTCTACCACTGTAACTCTGTTCAAAGCCACCATCATTTATCTCACTGAATTATAGCAGTAGCCTCCTAACTAGGCTCCTTGCTTATTTCTGCAGTCTTCTCAACACAGGGTTCAAAGGGATCTTTATTTAAAACTAGTTAGAGCATTCATTTCACTCTTCTCAAAACCTTCCAATTGTTCCCTTCTTACTCTGAGTAGAAGCCAATAGGTCCTAAAAATTTTTATTCCCTGTCCCCCTTTTACCTTATCTTTTGAGATGTGTCTTCTTGCTCACATTGTTTTCTGTTCTCCTTGCCTCCTTGCTTTTCTAGAATATCAGGCACAGTCCTGAATCAAAAGACCTTTGCGTTTTGGCTGGGCACGGGGTGGCACATGCCTATAATCCCAGTGCTTTGGGAGAACTAAAGTAGGAGGATCACAAGTTTGAGGCTAGCCTCAGCAATATAGTGAAGCCCTARGGAACTTAGCGAGACCCTATCTCAAAATAAAAAATAAAAAGTGCTGGGGATATGAATCAGTGTGGTTAAGTGCTCCTTGTTCAATCCCAGGTACCAAAAAGAAAAAGAAACCAAAACTGCATTTTGTCTTCCTTCTTCCTAAAATTCTTCTCCTGCAGATAGCACCTTTGCTAAGTTGATGAAAGCTGTCCTTGAATTTTGCTTTTTTGTTCTTCAAAGCTTAGGGCTGGGATTGTGGCTCTGAGGAATAGCACTCATCTACCATGCATGAGGCACTGGGTTCGATCCTCAGCACCACATAAAAATTAAATAAAGATATTGTGTCCACCTATAATTAAAAAATGAATTAAAAAAAAATCTTAGCTTAGATGTCAGCTTGGATGTTGGCTTCATGGTGAGGCCTCTTTTTGGCCCTCAACTTAAAATTGCACAAAGTCCCTCTCTAACCTGTCATTCCCTAATCCCTTACCCTGCTTTATTGTCCCTATAACACTTGATCACCACCTAGTGTGCTTCATGCTTTGCTTATTTATTTGCTGACTGCCTCAGTTTCCTGTAAAATTGGGGGAATGTTAATAATAGTATTTACCTTGTGGAATTTTTTTTTTTTTTGGACCAGGGATTGTACCTAGGGGTGTTTAACCTCTGAACTACATCCCCAGCTCTTTTTATTATTATTTTTTAGAGATGGGATGTCACTAAGTTGCTTAGGACCTCATTAAGTTGCTGAGGCTGACTTCCAACATGTGATCCTCCTGCCTCAGGAGTTGCTGGGATTGCAGGCGTGAGCCACTGTACCTGGCACCTCATGGGATTTTAAATATTTTTAAATTTATTATTAATTTTGTACTGAGGGTTGAATTCAGAGGTACTTTATCTGTGAGCCATATCCCCRTTACTTTTTTATATTTTATTAGAGACAGGGCTTTGCTAAGTTGATGAAAGCTGTCCTTGAACTTGCAATCTTCCTGCCTCTGCCTCCGAGTCACTGGGAGGATTATAAGTGCCACTGGCCCAACTTTTCTTTTTCTTTCTCTCTCTCTCTCTCTCTCTTTTTTTTTTTTTTTTTTTTGAGACAGGGTCTTGTTATATTATCTAGGCTGGCCTCAAACTCCTCAAGTGATCCTCCCACCTCAGCTTCCCAAGTACCTGGAACTGTAGGCATGTTGCCATGCCATGTACTTAGGTCCTCATGGAATACTTTGAAGATTAAATGAATTAACATATATAGAGCATTTAATTTTAATTTTATTTTGGGGTGGGGTACTGGGAATTGAACTCAGGTGCACTCAACCACTGAGCTACATCCCCAGCCCTATTTTGATTTTATTTAGAACAGGGTCTCACTGAGTTGCTTAGCACCTCACTTTTGCTGAGGCTGGCTTTTAACTCATGATCCTCCTGCCTAAGCCTCCTGAGCCATTGGGATTATAGGTGTGTGCCACAATGCCCGTGGAGCTTTTAGAACAATGTCCAGCAAGTAAAGCATTATATCTGTGTTAACTATTGTTATTATTTTATTAGTAAGCAAGATGGTGGATAATAACATAAAATTATYCTTAAAAGACTTACTACTAGCCATGCCTGGCAATCCCAGCAACTCAGGAGGCTGAGGCAGGAGGATTACAAGTTTGGGGCCAGCCTCAGCAACTTAGCCAGACCCTGACTCAAAAAATAAAAAGGGTTAGGGATAATATAGCTCAGTGATAAAGCACCCCTGAGTTTGATCACCAGTACCACAAAAAAACAAACAAAAGAACCAGACTTACTCTTAGCATGGAAAAGCAGAATTATGACTGCTTTTGGTTGCTCAGTAACCATAATTTCAGCAGTGATGAATAATGCCCAGTTGTTGRATGATGCCCAGTGCCACTAGTCTGAAATACTTCCCATCACTAATAGGATTTCTGACTACAAATGTAAAGTTTAAAGAGTTGAAGTTCAAAGATAGAGTTTCCACATCAAATGTAATTCAAGTGTCATGCATACTCTTAGACTTTGAGGAAAAAATATACAGGTTCATGAGGAGGTTGAAAATATTGCCTGGCTGCAGTGGTTGTGAGTTGTGACTGTCCAGAGCCACACAGCTCTGGACTCATAAATGATGATCACTAAAAATGATGGTCACTTAGGGTGCAGGGCCCTGGGGGACATACTGTGTTGACTTAACCCCACTTTATATGGTGATGCTCTAGCTAGTTGGTATCTTTGAGTTTCTCAGACCCACTCTCAGTAAATTACCTCCTTCACACTCCAGCTTGCCATGAACGAGTGATTTACTATTAGCAAGCAAGCACTTTATTTCCAGAAGGGAGCACATTTTTTCTAATCATGCTCTATTCATTTTTGAATGCTCACTTATTATAATTCACTTTTCAAGCCCTATGCCACAGACATCCACACACAAACACAAACTCAGGCCGMATTTTCCCTAGGATCTGCAGTTAGCCTACTCTAAGCAGTGCCTACCATATCCTTGGTTTACTTAATAAGAATTAAGCCCAGTATATGCCCACCAGATACTTTGTTGTCTTCATGGAGTTTACTTATGATTTAGAACTCTAGATCAAGACTGGTCCCTTGGAAACGTAATTTAGTGGTAGAAGGCTTGCTTAGCTCTGGGTTTAGTCCCCAGTACTGCAAAAAGAAAAAAAAAAAGGTCTCTTATTTACCCCAAATTTACAGTCATTTTGTCATCGAGAACAACATAAAGGCACCTGGATAATCTAGTTTTTTCTTTTTTTATGTGGGTCGGGGGGCGGGTACTGGGACTTGAACCCAGGGGTGCTTTACCACTAAACTACATTCCCAAACCTTTTTAATTTTTATATTAAGACAGGGTCTCACTAAGTTGCTTAGGATCTTGCTAAGTTGATGTAACTGACCTCGAATGTGTGACTGGATAATCTAATTCTAATGAATAATAGTATATAATGTCACTCTGAAACATTAATTGATTTGCTCTCACCTAGCCAAGCTAGCTTTCTGTAAGTTGTTAAGGTACCCATGGCAAATAAGCTTTTTCCTGGAACCAAATAAACTTTCCAGATAATTATGCTTCCCAGGATAGCGACCTAATCCTCACTATTGAACATATGTTCTGTTCTTCATCTTAACTGTTTTTGGCTATAAGCTCTGAAGATATTTATCTTAATTCATTATGCAGTTGGTGAATGAAGCCATTTCAAAACAGAAGGGAAAAAATATTTTCTTTCTGCAAAATGCATTCAGCTTTGGCACTCAGGATGAATTTAGTAACTCCAAATTCTTTAAACTTCTGTTAACATGGAGTTTTTGCCAATGTGTTAATTAAATTACTGTACAGTATTAAAATAATAGCCCTTTATTAGAGTATGCAGAATCACCTTCTATGTGCCCAATATTAAATAATTAAATGAATCTGCTATGTTAGAAGAATCTGTTCTTGAAAAATTTTGGTCATTGATGTACATGTTTTAAATGCCTTGGGAGTTAAAGTTTGTGTGTAGTGCCTTTCATTTAAGCAGATGAGGGTATGTTTATAACTTTCTGTAAAGATTGGAGAAGTCAACTTTTTTTTTTTTTTTTTTTGGTAACAGGAATTGAACCCAGAGGTGCTTAACCACTGAACCATATCCCCAGCCCATTTTATTTTTTATTTTGAGACAGCATCTTGTTAAGTCACTTAGGGTTTTGCTAAGTTGCTGAGGCTGGCTTTGAACTTGGTGATCCTCCTGCCTCAACCTCCTGACCCACTAGGATTATAGGCATGTGCCATGGCCACTTTTAAAAAATGTAAATTTGGAAATCCTTTTAGTGAAGGTATGAAGAAAATATAAGTAAAGAGAAGGGAGTAAGTAACTGAGACAGGCCTGTCTACTGTAGTAATAATTGAAGTGACAGAGCAAGCTGCAGGTAGGAGTTGGTTATGAGCCTGATAATAGTTAATCTTCAGGTAACATTTGATGCATATGAAGTGAATTTTCCTGAAAAGGAATGAGGCAATATAGAAAAATGTTTTAAAGAGACTAAGAGGATCACATGATTATAACAATAATGATAGAAAATCACCTTGAAGTATCATTGGAGTTAACCAGCTGGCCAGCCAACCAACCTGCCTTCTGGAAGCCATTGAAATAAAAACTCTGTGATAAATACATTTTCCCCAGGGGCAAGGAATGATTTTTTTTTTCTTTTTAGTGCTGGGGAATCAAACCCAGAGTTTGATCATAGATGCTAGGTAAACATTCTACCATTGAGCTCTACCCCTAAGCCCAACCTTATAATTTAAAAATAAAGTTTAGGGGCTAGGAATTAATCATCTGCTTTGTGAGAGGAAAAAAGCAGAGGTTATCAGCCTGATTTTTTATTTTTTTATTTTTTTATTTTTTTCAAAGTGCTGGGGATTGAACCCAGGGCCTTGTGCACGCTAAGCAAGTACTCTCCTCTGGCCTACATCTCTATCCCTCTTTTTTTTTTTTTTTCTTGTGGTACTGGGGATTGAAGCCAGGGGTGCTCTACCACTGAGTTATACTCCCAGTCCACCTTTTTTTTTTTGATACTGAATCTTGCTAAGTTGCCCAGGCTGGCCTTGAAATTGATTTTCTTGCCTCAGCTTTGCAAGTAGCAGTCTAGTATCTGGGCTTTAGCTGAACTTTTTTTTTTGTGTGTGTGTGTGTGTGTGTGTATGTTTGTGTGTTGCTGGGGCTTGAACCCAGGACTTTGGGCATATGAGGCAAGCACTCTACCAACTGAGCTATATCCCCAGTCCCCCTAGCTGAACTCTTAACAGGATTATGTATATTTATTTACTAATGATTTAAAGTTGAAATTCCAAATCTCTTTCCTTTTTTTAAATTATTCTTTTTTTCCCCTCCTTTGGGACAGGACTTGTTTACACTGGGCATGTAAACGCAACCATGGTCAGGTGGTCTCATACCTGTTACAGTCAGGTGCTGACAAAGAGATTCTTACCACAAAAGGGGAGATGCCAGTGCAGTTAACATCAAGGAGAGAAATCAGGAAGATCATGGGAGGTGAGTCTGTGTTTGGGGGGAACATTTTGACTTTGTACAACTAATTTAAAACTTGTGATTATTATTTGTCACATTCTTTTTTTTTTTTTAGTTGTAGATGGCCATATAATATCTTTATTTATTTTTATGTAGTACTGAGGATCAAACCCAGTGCCTCACACTTTCTAGGCAAGCAAGTGCTCTACCACTGAGTTACAACCCCAGCTTCTATTTGTCACATTCTTAATGCCAAATAACTCAATAACTTGTTTATTTCTCAAAGCTAATTACTGAAGTAATTCTATGTTTCTGGGGAGATCAGCATTACAAGATTCTTTTTTTTTTTTTTGTAAAATTTAGTCATTGTTAAAAATAGTAATCATAAACTTAATAGTCCTTTCTGAACTAAACAGGTAGTTATAATCATTGAACAAAATATTTGTCACTACCAAAGGATACTAATGCTTCTCAAAGATGTTTTTTTCTCAGATTTTTTTTTTAATTTTTATTTTTTTGTAGTAGTAGGGCTCAAATGCAGGGGTACTTTATCCCTGAGCCATATCTCCAGTGCTTTGCTTTTTTTCTTAAATGTAACATTTAATTAATTAGTTAATTATGTGGTGTTGAGGATCGAATCCAGGGCCTCACCCATGCTAGGAAAGTGCTCTACTACTAAGCCCCAGCCCCGGGCCTCTAGTGCTTTTTAAGTTTTATTTTGAGGCAGAGTCTCATTAAGTTGCTGAGACTGGCCTTAAACTTAATGATCCTCCTGCCTCAGCTTCCCTAGTTGTTGGGATTAGAGATGTGCTCCACTGTGTGTGGCTTCTTGATAATTTTTAAAGGACTGCGTAAATGTTCTGTGTTTTCTTCTTTTTAAGTGGAAGAAGATGATAATGATGACGACACCCTTCCTCAGCTGAAGAAGGAGTCAGAACTGCCCTTTGTTCCCAATTATTTGGCCAACCCAGCCTTCCCTTTTATCTATACTCCCAGAGCAGAGGATTCASCCCAGYTGCAGAATGGGGGCTCCTCCACACCCCCAGYATCCCCCCCTACAGATGGCTCACCTCCATTGCTGCCCCCTGGGGAACCCACCCTGCTAGGAGCCTTTCCCCGGGACCACCCTTCTTTGGCACTGGTTCAGAACTGTGATGTGACTGCCCCCCCTGCCATACTCAGAACACCAGAAAGCACAAAACCGGGTCCTGTTTGTCAGCCACCAGTGAGTCAGACCCGCTCCCTTTTCTCTTYTGTCCCATCTAAGCCACCAGTGACTCTGGAGCTTCAAAATGGGACTTATACAGGACCGGCGCCAGCATTCCAGCCATTTTTTTTTACTGGAACATTTCCGTTTAATATGCAAGGTAAGCATTTACAACAAACAGCCTCTGTAACCGGGGAGTTGGGGAGAAGTGAGATTTATTTAATATATTTGGGATATAATTACAAACTTAGAGAAAAGTTTCAAGACCTGTATAAGGAATTCCCTTCACTCAGATTCACAAATTATTTACCTTCTGCCCTTTTACCCTGAAATTCTTAAGTATTGTTCTCATTGTATCTTTTCTAAGAATAAGGATATTCTTTTATATAACTTCAGTACAATTATCAAATTTGAGAAATGTAACCTTGATATAACATTGCTCTGTAATTGGTAGTCCATATTTAAGTTTTGTCAGTTCTCTCAATAATGCCCTTAGTGGATATCTTCTCTCCCCTATTCTTGCTCCCTCCCCTCTGGTAGCCCAGGACTACCCATTACATTTAGTTATACAGCCCTTGTAGGTTTTTTTTGGTTGTTTGTTTCTTTTACTTTTGCTGTACTGTGGATGGAACCCAGGGGTGCACTGAACTACATCCTTGTCTCTTTTTTTTGAGACAGAGTCTCACTAAGTTGCCCAGGCTGGCCTCAACTTTGGGATCCTCCTGCCTCAGCCTCCTGAGTCACTAGGATTTCAGGCATGTGCCTGCACCTGGCTTTTTGAAATTGATAACTTTGAAGGGTCCAGGTCAATTATTTTACAGAATATGATTTTCTATCATTATTTATTTGTTGGTATTCTACTATAAAGAAGGGCTTTCTCTTCTCCCTCATTTATATCAGTATGGATTCTTATTGTGTTCAATCAGTTATAATCTATTACTGTCATTATTTTGATATTCAGATTTTTCCTGATTTGACCAATGGGACCTTCAAGCTACTTATCGTAACCATTAGATATGTCCCCATCATTCTTGGAAAACTTCCTTTCTTTCTAGTGTAGCAAGATATACAGGTTTATAGTGTAACTTCCCTGCCCTAACCCCAGAATCAGCCCTTCTCCAAAGAGCCCTCRTTCTTTTTGGTAGAGAATAGAATTTAGAAGCTAGGAAAGAGAGAAAAAAGCAAGCAAACACATTTATTTATATATGCATGTAGATCTACGTTTCTGTATCTGTTTACATCTTCTTAAGAACATTAGAAATTCAAGTTCATCTTTATAGCTCTGATTCTAGCCACACTTACTAGGGTATAGTCTAGTCTTACCTTTCCTTTTTCCCTATAAGTAACTCTCCTACTTCCCAATTTTGAGGACCTGGTGCTGATAACAGTTGCCCCGGGGTGCTGCCAGGGATCCATATATAAGGAGAAAAGCAGAACTGCCAAATGTACATAAGTGCTTGGCTGGAGCCATTTTGGCAGCCAGGCACAGAATGTGGAGTCAGATTGCTTTGCTCGATGACCCATGAATAACAGTCTTTACTCCTAAAGCCAGGAACTCACCCTTATCAAGTTGTGCCATTTTTTTTTAGTCAAATGTATACTTTAACTTTGTTTAGTGAGTATTTTTTTGCTCTCCAGTTTTTATTGCAAGGAATTTCTTATTTCATGAATACCTTTAGATCCATAATTGTTAGATCTGTTTTTTTTTGTTTTGTTTTGTTTTGTTTTTAATGGTACTAGAGATTGAACCCAGGGGCACTCTTTTTTGTGGATGGGGGTACCAGGGATTGAACTCAGGGGCACTCAACCACTGAGCCACATCCCCAGCCCTATTTTGCATTTTATTTAGACAGGGTCTCACTGAGTTACTTAGCACCTCACTTTTGCTGAGGCTGGCTTTGAAATGGCGATCCTCTTGCCTCAGCCTCCTGTGCTGCTGGGATTACAGATGTGTGTCACTGTGCCCAGCCCAGGGGTACTGGTAACACTTAGTCACATCCCCAACCTTTTTTATTTTTATTGAGACAGGGTTTTGGTTGTTGTGATTTTATTTTGTTTTTTTTTGTAGTGCGGAATTGAGCCCAGGAGCACTCTTCCATTAAGTTTGTAAGCCCCACCCTTTTTTATTTTATTTTGAGACAGGGTCTCACTAAGTTGCTGAGGCTAGTTTTAACTCAAGATTCTCCTGCCTCAGCCTCCCTAGTCACCGGGATTATAGGTGTGTGCCATTGCACCTGGCATTGTAAATTTTTTGAAAGTATCTCATGTATCATGTCTTGCTTTTGCCTTCTTTCCAACCTTTTTTTTCTTTCCCTGCTCATGTGTATTTTTTTTATTTCTTTCTTTTAGTTGTACACAATACCTTTGTTTTTATTTATTTATTTTCATATGGTGCTGAAGATCAAACCCAGGGCCTCACACTAGCTAGGCGGGTGCTCTACTGCTAAGCCACAACCCCAGCCCCTCATGTGTATTTTTTTTAAAAAATATTTTTAGTTGTAGATGGACACAATACCTTTATTTATTTATTTATTTTTGTGGGATGCTGAGGATCGAACCCAGTGCCTTACACATGCGAGGCAAGTGCTCCACTACTGAGCTACATCCCCAGCCCTTCTCTTGTGTATTTTGGTACTCAAATCCATCTGAAGTCTTTACTTCCTTAGCTCTAATGGTGGAAGAAAGTGATCCTTCTACATAGTTGGGTTGCTTGTTCCTGCCCCCTTTTACTTGGTGAAACAGTCTTAGACGTAGGGAAGATCATGCAGGAAACTGCCCCAATGAGCCAGGATTAGGTCAGAGCAAAACCTGATGGTCAACCATGATTTTCCCATTGGRTGGCACAGACTAAATGTAACCATTTTTAAGATTTTAAGTTAAGGGCTGGAGATGTGGCTCAAGTGGTAATGCRCTCCCCTGGCATGCGTGGGGCGCTGGGTTCGATCCTCAGTACCACGTAAAATAAAAGATGTTGTGCCCACCGAATACTGAAAAATAAACATTAAAAAAAAAAGATTTTAAGTTAATGATCTGTGCTACGACCATCTATTCATTACCATTTTCCCCTCTTTTTCTAGAGCTTGTACTCAAGGTAAGGATTCAGAACCCATCTYTTAGAGAAAATGATTTCATTGAAATTGAACTGGACCGACAAGAGCTTACATACCAAGAACTGCTCAGAGTGAGTTGCTGTGAGCTGGGTGTTAATCCAGATCAAGTGGAGAAGATCAGAAAGTTACCAAATACGCTGCTAAGAAAGGTAAGAAAAGTCTGCCAAGCACAAATGGTAGCTTTTTGCACTTGGAAAATAACCAACTTCCTCTTTGATTATGTGAGTCATAGTTAAAGAAATGAAAAGAGAATGCAAAAGGAGTGGAGAGTAGTTTTCCAAATGTAATCAATAAGCTTTCTTTCCCTATGCTGTGTCTTTAGAGACGCTGGCATTTTCAAAAGTTTTAAGATACTAGAGAGAATGTTTGGAGTTGCCGGTCACATGTACCTATTTCCAGTTGTTTCTGCAGTGACCTGTAAGGATCACCTTAGTGCATCATTAGATATGCTTTGTGTTTTACAAGAAAGACCCATGTTAAATTATAGGGCAAACCCACTTTTTTTGTTTTGTTTTTGTAGTTGGACACAATGCCTTTATTTTTTATTTATTTTTATGTGGTACTGAGGATCGAACCCAGGGCCTCACACATGCTATGCGAGCACTCTAACACTGAGCCACAGCCACAGCCCCGCATTGGGTTCTTGAACATCAGGCTTCTGAGTTTTCTCAGAAGGAAAATCGGCCCATGCATTGCCTGACCCTGCAGGGTATGTGCCCACCCTGTAGTAATGGCTACTAAGGGCTTCTTCCATTATTCCAATCCAACTTATGCCCTGGGGATTTAATCACAGACTTATCTGCCATGGATTTTATTTTCCTTCCAGATTTTGAAGTGAACCAAGATACTGGTGTCAGTTCAGCCCACCAAACATATGGTGGTTCCTCTTAATCTGTTAACCTGTTTTGTTTTAGGACAAAGATGTTGCTCGACTCCAAGATTTCCAGGAGCTGGAACTGGTTCTGATGATAAGTGAAAACAATTTTCTGTTCAGAAATGCTGCGTCYACACTGACTGAAAGGCCTTGCTATAACAGGAGAGCTTCAAAACTGACGTACTAATGYAGCAGGGACTTTTATCGCTGAGTATTGTGACAATGTATGTCACCTCTGGGCCAAGGACAAGCCATTGATCCAAAAGCCTCGGATGCCCACGAGGTCCCCTGGTGCCACTGCGTAGTGTACACTAACATCGTTGTTCTGCCAAGGCAGGAAGCCCCTGTCCCCCAGCAGC